TTTGGACTGTATAAATATGACTTACGCTTCCGCTTATCTTTTGATGACTCGTGATGATGTTTTGCTATCTTTTGACGTACGCTTTGACGAACTTTTAAGAAATTAAGTTTTTCAGTAACCGGACGTTTTTATTAAATTAAAACAACGATTTTCTAAGTTAAGTTACGATTTTTCACGGTAGCACCCCGAATCAGTTTTCGCAAAGTAAAAAGGTTTTATTTATAAAAACTTTGCGAATTATTGCGCAACTCTGATTTTACAGTAAGGTGGGGTGTTACATCGATGACATAAATATAACTGACACACGAGAGGAGCTTGATAAAGCTAGTTCATGCCTAAAGACGGAGTTTGAAATAAAAGATTTGGGTAAAACCAAATATTGTCTCCGTCTATAGATCGAGCATCTCCCTGAAGGAATATTTGTACACCAGTCAACCTACTTGAAGAAGGTTTTAGAAAAATTCTACATGGATAAATCTCATCCACTTAGCACACCAATGGTTGTCCGGTCCCTTGAAGCGGATAAGGACCCATTTAGACCTAAAGAAGATACCGAAGAAAATTTAGGACTGGAAGTTCCTTACTTGAGCGTCATTGGCGCGTTACTTTATCTTGCAAATTGCACTAGGCCTGATATTGCATTTGCAGTAAACTTGCTAGCAAGGTTTAGTGCTTCTCCTACAAGAGACACTGGAATGGTATTAAACATATTTTTAGGTATCTTCAAGGTTCATAAGATCTTGGTTTACTTTATAAGAAAAATCATGATATGACATTGGTGGGCTATTCGGATGCTGGTTATATGTCTGATCCCCATAATGCTAGATCACAGACTGGTTACGTTTTTCTTGTGGTGGTACTGCAATCTCTTGGAAGTCGGTCAAGCAGTCCATGGTTACTAAATCCTCAAACCATTCAGAAACAATTGCTTTATACGAGACTTCACGCGAATGTGTATGGTTAAGTTCTTTAATCCAACATATTCGTGGATCATGTGAAATTACAAATGATATAACCCCCACTGTACTTTATGAGGATAATGCAGCTTGTGTTTTACAAATGAGTAGTGGGTATGTCAAAGGAAGCATGACAAAACATATTGCCCCAATCTTTTACCCACACGAGCTCTAGAAGAGCGGTGAGATTATTGTACAAAAAGTAAGGTCTAGCGAAAACTTGACAAACCTATTCACCAAATTCCTTCCTACATCTACTTTTGAGAAATACATTTATGGTATTGGTATGCGTAAACTGGGAAGACTATTGTCTTCATCGGGAGGGAAAAACTCAAAGTAATCTCGAAGATTAGGTCCTGAAGACCAAATATTGTACTCATTTTCCTTTTACTAAGTTTTTCCCAATGGGTTTATTAGTTAAAAGTTTTTAACGAGGCAGCTAGTAAAACACATGAATTTTTACAAATCATGTACTCTTTTTCCCTTGACTATTTTTTTTCCCCTGTCGGGTTTCTATTAGCAAGGTTTTTAATAGGGCATGTAGTAATGTCCAAGGGGGAGTGTTGTAAATATATTAATATGGACATTACTAATATATAATTGGGCCTGAAGTCCATTAGATAGGAAAATTAGGTTTTAGGGCTTCTCTCTTGTAAACCCTATAAAAGGATGATTATACCGATGAATAAGAGATACACCTTTCTGCTTCTTTTCTCGTTCTTTTTACTGCACATCTTTTATGCTTATTGATT